AAAAAAAAAAAGGTGAAGTTACTAATAACCCCTAAGGTCATTTCCAAAGATGACATTCCAATAATGCAGCTGGTGTTATAGGGCAAGAGTGATGTTTCTTCATAGACTAAATGACTTACACCAGACTTTTGGAAAAATTATCCTGATACATCAGAACACATAATTTGACATTAGGTCTGTCATAATCGCCCATGTTCTGATTCCTGCTGTTGACCTGTGTGCCCTTCTCCAGTGTCTCTTCCAAGGAGGATTACAAACAGTGCAGTCATTGGAGAGACAACCTTTACGGCCCAGCAGTGAGGTGAGAGACCATCACCCACAGTCAGAATTCCACAGCACTTGCTAGGTTCTGGGAGTGGCTTGAGGGGCTGAGAGAGAATCTTACAGCTTAGATCCATCACCCTGTCTCAGCACGAGACCCAAGAGTGGTGGCTTTCCTTGGACTAGTAACCACATGAGAGGCTAACAAGCTTTTTGAATGCAAGAATTGTTTCTTTTACTTTTGTGTGTGTGTCAAATCCTGGGACACAATAGGAACTTGGTAAGCATTTGCTGAAAGAATAAACCATTTAGGTGTTTTTAGAGCAAATTCTGAATATTAAAATGTTATTTCAAAAGTAGACATGCACTTCTCTGTGTTCACCTTAATGATGCTGAGGAAACGCATATTCCAAACATAAGAAATTACTCTTTTGTCATAGTAGAAAACATTTTGGTGCCTTCAGTTCAATATCAGGCATTGCAAACTGCCTTCCAGGTAGATAACAGAATTGATTACACAGCTAGAGCCCAATAGAGAGAAAAATGAATGAGAAAAACCCATCCCAGCGGTGAGAACACTGCAACAAACTTGCCCCCCAACCGATGGAAATAGCTCATCTCTATTAAAAGGAAAATATAATATTTATTTATAGAGCATACCTATTTATATATCATGTGCTACTTTACCAACATTTAATCCTCATAACGCCCACCATAATGACCAGGAGCTAAGTATTATTATTTCCCTTTTAGAGAAAAAGAAACAGAGACTCAGAGAAGTTAAGTAACAGAGTAACAGTCTGTGGTGGAGCCCCAGTCAACACCCCAAAGGTGGTGCTCTTGTTGTCAGACCAGGCTGCCTCAGGGCTTTCTAGATTCCTCTTCTGGGTGTCTCTCTTCCGTGTTTGCTGTAGGGTTTGGACGCCTTCCCATGTGAGTGAACCTGGCTCAGCCTGTGAGCAGGCAAACAGAAGCACCAGGCTCTGACAGGGTGCAGAGCAAATTCACCAGGCTGCAGACTGAGGTAGCTGGGCTGGACTTTGACCCAATGAATCAGCTCCATGGAGGCTGGGCAGTTGCAAAGGTAACTAATTTGCTGTAGATCTGGGGGCCAGGTAAGTCTTGGTAGATGTGGCACCTGGACTTTGACAGTCTCCAGGAGGAGAGGAGGCATTTGTGCACCAGGTCCCTGGAGCAGCGCTGAAGGAAGTTAGGACGCCTTCAGAGCAGGTGTGTGGGAGCGTAGCTGCCATCTTTCCCTTCCATGGGCTGTGCTTACTGTGCTGTCAGAGCAAGAAGGGCAGCATTGCCTTCCTGGGGCCAGGGAAGTTCATTCATGTGAATGTGTGAGTGTGACTTGTCATCTCGATATAATCCCTTCATTTTGAGAATCTGAGGTGCTTTTCATTTGTCCTTCAGTATAACCTGAGGTCTAAATTGCTGGAGGTGATGTTTCTTGGCAAGAAAATGATGTGATTTCAGTGAAGAGATTGGCTACTGTGCCTTTGCAATTGGGGAAGGGCTGCTTAGTGAGAATATCTGGGGACAAAGGAAAAGCAACTTTCTCTTTCTGCTTACTTGTATGCAAATGATTTTGAGTTCCTTGGGTCTTTGGGAAAGGCATACATATGCTTTCACAGTGTCTGGGGGCATTTTTCCTTTCCTGGGATTTCCTGGCAAAGGCTCTCCTGGCACCTGGAAGCCTTTTTCAAGGGAGAGAGCTGCATAGGAAGGCAGGCATGCATTCTCTTTAGTTGTGATTGACCTTGAGGCGGAAGGCAGCTCTGTGCCAGGCTCTTCTTGTGTGCTCTGCTGTCTCATAGCTCTTGGCCTCACAGTTGTGGACCCTGACTCTCTGGTGTTTGAGCAGAGTGACATCTCGGTTTCAACACATACCCTTTCGACCTTTTGTTCTGATATGAATTTTTATATGGGGCTAGGAGCGTTAGAAGTGGGAGCAAGTTAACTGATTCTATGAGAATCTTGCAACTTAACAGTTTCCAAGGGAGAAAAAAGGTGGGGGCCAACCTAGCCTGTGTGTTCACCTGACGCCAGAGAATCTCTGAGCAAGAGTAAGGTCTGAGGTGTGCTTTCCCTTGCAGGTGCTCCCCTGTGATACGAGGAAGAGAAGGTAATCAGTCTTTGGAGCTAACTCCCATTTTGAAAAATAAGTGGAGCAAATCAGTTTGACACCAGGGAGAGTTACAAGTTTTACAATCTCCAGCCACAAAGAATCCTGAGACATGCTCTCTATTTTTTGTGTAAGCAAACCCCGACTTGCCTTTTGTTAGCTGCCCTGGAGGAGGAGCAAATATAGCCATATATGAGGGTCAGGTGCTTCTGGGAGGTTAATGTAAGGATTCTGAAAAGGTATCTCTTGAAGAGGTCAATTTAAACTTCTTTTTGTTTAGGAAATATCTTCAGCCAATCCCCTACCCTTCATTCCTGATAACACTAACAGTTATTTATCGAGCAATACTATACAATAGGCAGTGTGATGGGCACTTTCCATATGTTATCTCTAACTCAGACTCCCTGGAAGGTAGTTATTGGGTGCCCATTTTATGGGTAAGGAAATTAAGGCTTGAAAAAATTATCTAGCCAGTAAATAGCAGAGTTAGGATTTGAACTCTGATCTAGTTCTCTCTGAAGCCCACTCTATTTCTATGAAACCATAGGGTCTCCATAGGGAGTGTTAAATAAATATTTGCTCGTGGAATAGATGAAGAAACATTAATTGGGATTCCTTGGTAGCATTTTTAGCTGTACCGATTATTGCTCTGTCTCCCAGGCCTCCATCTGTTGTTGTTCCAAATGTACTTTTTAATTTTTTAAGCAACATCAATGTAATTATCTAGTCTGTTATTTATTTCATGTGTTGTTTGAGATTTTTTTCAGATTTCTCTCTATCTGTGCCCATATGGTTTGTTTTAGATAGATTTCAAGGACCATAGCTGCTCTTTTCACAAAACCTAATCAATCACCATGGTTAGAGATAGGCTTAAAATGACTTTCCCCCTCTTTTGTCTACAGGAAGATAAAATAACTATACAACTGACTTAAAACCCAAGAGAAATTCGGAGGGTCAGGGATGGAATTTTGGGTTCCCCAGAGGCAGCCTCAGCCACGGGGGAGGCCCACAGCACCACCAAATGATCCAGACCGAGGGCTTTGGAGAGATGGACATCATTGGCCTGTTCCTCACTCTCAGCACAATGGAGACAGGTTCCATCAATGGCAAGATGTCTGCGGAAGCCCCCAGCCACAGCAGGAGCCCAGGGAAGACCACCAGCATCCCCACTATATATCCAGACCTGGGGAATGGCACCAGTCCACGTCCGGGGTTGACTATTATGATGGTGGTTATCGCAGTCAGTTGTATTCAAGGTATGGTATTAGGGCTTGGAATGAACCCAACTCTTCTAAGTGCTTATGAATAGATTGTTCTTTTCCTTGTTCCTTTTCCTTTCATTTCTCCTCTTTGTGTTTTTATTTTTATTTTTTATTTTATTTTATTTTATTTTTTTGAGACAGAGCTTCAAGCTGTCTCCCTGGGTAGAGTGCCTTGGCATCATAGCTCACAGCAACCTCAAACTCTTGGGCTCAAGCGAGTCTCCTGCCTCAGCCTTCCAAGTAGCTGGGACCACAGGCACCCACCACAATGCCTGGCTACTTTTTGGTTGCAGCCATCATTGTTGTTTGGTGGGCCCGGCCTGGATTGGAACCCGCCAGCTTAGGTGTATGTGGCTGGTGCCTTGGCCACTTGAGCCACAGGCGCCGAGCCTGTATTTTTATTTTTTAAAATTTCTTTATCCTAAATTGCCTTAGCTAAATCCTGTCCTTTCCTAAACTGGTTTTTGGTGATGGAAGGTAGTATTTCCCTTCTTTTTGTTCCCTAGGGGAGCAGCTTAAAGAAGTCATCACAGTGTGATAGGGTATTAGGGACTGAGTAGAAGGTAGAAAAAGTCATAAAATACAAGAAGGCAGATGGGACTCTCTTGTTCTGGGATTGCAAAAAGTAATATATGTAGACTGTGGAAAAGCTTTGCTTAGGGACCCCTTTGAGAAGGTCCTCATTGTTATTGAACATTCTGGCCTGGGGTTAACATGACATCACACCATCACCAAAAAGAGTCCTAGTGCCTAGAGGAGGACCTTGAGTGTAATAGGCATACAAAAAAGTGTATTGAGCAAATGGTAACTTAAAAAAAAAAATCAACCTCAGAGTAAGCAGATACAAACCTGTAAACTCCAACTTCAGAAGGAAGAGGTCATAGTGAGTAGGAGAATCTGGAGATCTGGAGAACTTGTAAACTCCAAGTTCAGAAGGAAGAGGTCACAGTGAGTGGGAGAATCTGGAGATCTGGAGAATCTCCTCTAAGGTCTAATTGATAGCACTGAACTTAATATTTTATGGAATGTTGGAAGCTGTCTGTGTTCTACTTTAGCTTTTCCAGTTGAGGTGATAGTTACCTGCCTATGATGAAAATTATTGTAAAGAATTTTGCCCCTGTGAAATACCAAAGGATTATTAATTGATAAAAACACTAATAACATGATGTTCCCTTTTCTCCAACTTTTTGGATTGTTGAATTCTCAGAGAAAGGCATATTAAAGACAGAGGCAATACCACATAAGAGAAATCGGATTTAAGATAGTCCAACTTAACCTTTTCATTTTGTTTCCATTTGTGATATGATGGGAATTACCATGGTATAGTGGGGGCTTACCTCGTCATCTCAGGAAGCAGTTTTCTCAAATAATGTCAGGACAGAGATTTCTAAAATAATATCTCCTTGTATTATTTGATGTGTATATTTGGGGAGTAAGTTTTACTATAAAAATAACATCTTTTTTTTTTTAAAAGAGTTTTAAATTTAAAAAAGAGCTTTACTATAAAAATGTAGCCTTGTTGTGTAACACATGCCCAGTCCTGCTCTGGTTCTGGATTTCCTGCTTATAGAAGTTGTTTAGTTGGTCAGGGTATCCATTGGCTTCTCTCTTTATCATGCTCATACTCAAATGACTAGCCTTCTTTGTGATATTTTAGGCCAGGTTATGAGGATCGATACCAGAGCTATCACTCTCCGACACTAAGGGAAGAATATGCTTATGGAAGTTATTACTATCATGGACACCCACAGTGGCTACAGGAAGAAAGAGGTATGGAATCGTCTCCAAGGAGCCTCTGGGAGTTGGGGATGGTGCAGCTGGTCTGAGAGGCAGGGTAGGGACTGAAGGAATCACGTTCAGAGCCTTATCTCGGGCATCCTTTCTTGGCCAGAGGAGATCACTCCTAATGTGTTAAGAAGAAGAGGTAAAACAGTGTTTTATTCTTTGTATGTGTAGATTATGGTACTGAAACTTTCATTATGGTACTAGCACTATTGGTGGTATGCACTTCGTCCA